AAAAAAAAAAACACCAATCTGAGCAAATATTGCCCTAAACCAAGTGAGGTTATCTCTGGGTAGTTTGGACGGCCGCCGTTTCCTTTCCGAGTTGACTAATCTTGCAAACTGGTAAATGGAAAATGAAAACTGCCAATCATTAGTTCATGTGACGATGACTTACTGCATCTTGTGAAGGACCTGGAATGCTGGATACCCAGGTGTTTCCCAGGCGCTGGGTGGGGGTGGGGACGCTCTCCGCTGTCCTGAGTCCCTGTCCCTGCCCGTGCCCCTGAGACCCTGCCTACCCTGCTTCAGCTTTTCCCTGTCTTTCTGTCACTCTGTTTTGTTTCTTCTACTCACTCTGGGGCTTGCCTCGGGAAAAGGAAACTGAAACCGAAGAGGAATTTGGCCACTAGGCGCGGGCTCACCCGGCACGCCCCCTGATGTGTGCGGCTCAGGCGTACAAAAGGGCCGGTGCTGGCCGCGGGAGCCGGTGCTGAGAGGCGGCACGGAAGTCTTTGCTGTACGGGAGCTTGTGCCACAGCCACAGCCATGGTAAGGCGATGCCACAGGTGGGGGGCAGCTGGGCTGCGTTCCAGTCCATTTTCCTCTCCCTTCCCCAGCCGGGGTCTCCCGGGGGTGCAGGGAGAGGGAAGCTGCTGAGTGGTCAGCCAGGTGGCCTGAGTGTGCTGCCGAAGGGGGGTCACTCCTGACAGCGTCGGGGTGGGGCACAGAGGGGTGCCCTAGCAGGTAAGGGGAGGCGCGTCTGGCTGTGGGCAGCTGGCCTTCTAGCAGGGACCCCTCAGTGCCTTCTGTGCCCGGGGTCCCTGCAGACAGCATGTGGAGGACAGGCTGGAGGGAGCAGTGTCCCTGGGCACAGGTGCTTGTCGTGCAGTCCCATGTGTGGTGGGCTTGGGGCGGGTGCGGAGTCTCTGAGCCTGTGTGATTCCTGCAGGGCTGGGAACTGACGGTGAAGATGCTGGGGGGCAACGAGTTCAAAGTGCCCCTGAACAACTCCATGTCGGTGTCAGAGCTGAAGGCAAAGATCACCCAGAAGACCGGCGTGCACGCCTTCCAGCAGCGTCTGGCCGTCCACCCGAGTGGCCTCGCACTGCAGGACAGGGTCTCCCTTGCCAGCCAGGGCCTGGGCCCCGGCAGCACCGTCCTGCTGGTGGTGGACAGCTGTGATGTCCCTCTGAGCATCTTGGTGAGGAATGACAAGGGCCGCAGCAGCACCTACGAGGTGGTGCTGACACAGACCGTGGCGCAGCTGAAGCAGCGAGTGAGCCAGCAGGAGGGCGTGCAGGAAGACCTGTTCTGGCTGACCTTCGAGGGGAAGCCCATGGAGGACCAGCTCCCGCTGGGGGAGTATGACCTCCAGCCCCTGTGCACCGTGTACATGAATCTTCGCCTGCGGGGAGGCAGCGCAGAGCCTCCCGCCAGCATCTGAGCAGGATCAAGTGCTGGAAATAAAAGCTGCTACAAAGAGAAACGGCTGCCTCTGTGTCTGCGCCTGCCCCTCCTCCAGGGTCCACCTCTGACCCCTGCTGATGGGGCTGGGGGAGGAGTCAGGAGGGAGAACCCAGGGTACATCCTGGTGGCCAGGCCTGCGTTGCCAAGTGAAGGGGTGAGGGTTTGCAGTTATAGCCTTGAGGGACCAAAATAGGGACCCCCAAAACTGAAGTAAGACAGGTCTTCCCACCCTTTGGGAGACTCTCTTCGAGAGAAAGAAAAAGAGATGCATTTGCTGGAACCCACCTGGCCCTCCAGCATCTGGGACAGCAGACGGCTTGCGCAGGCACCAGCCTGCTCAGATCAAAAGGCTACCGGGGAGGCTCCTGGAAGCAGTGAGGGGTGATTCCTTGGGGCCTACCCAGTGGGCCATGAGGCAGGCTCTGCACAGGAACAGGGGCTGGGGGCCTTAGCTGTCCCTAGGCAGCCCGCACAGCCTGCTCCACCTGCCTGGGCTGGGCTAGGGATGGGTAGAGATGGTCTGAGCACTCACATCCCACTATGGCCAGCGGCAGAAGAGCAGAAGACAGCCTGGGTGGCCCCGAGCACGCCCTTCAGGGCTCTGCGTGAGGGAGGGGCCGTGGCCAGCAGTGGGGGGCACCTGGAATTGAGGCTGACACTGTCCAGGAAGAAGGGCTCGTCCCAGGTGGGGGGACCCAAGTCAGTGCGAGCTACACCCCCCTCCCCACTGATGTGCCCTTCCCTGTCTCTCGGTTCCAGTTTGCTAAATGAGTCCCCCCAGAAGCCAGCTGTCCACCAGGACACTTCGAGGACAGGCCACGGTGGGACGCACAGATTGGGGCACTTGGGGCTTGGCTTTCGGAGCCCTGGGGGGATCTGGCTGGAGACACGGAGCCCTCCGTGGTCTGTGGGGTCCATATCTGGGTGGGGGATCCCCATCCGGCTGCCCCAAGGCCACTGCGTGTGCCCAGCGAGGGCTGTCCCAGCTCCGGCGTTTCTGGTCCTCCCCTCACCCCTTTGTCACAATAGGCACGTGAAGCTGGGCCAGGAGTCTCTCCTGAACCCCCGCAGGGTGAGGGCAGGGGAGGGCCTCCTTCATACTCTGACCCAGAGATCAGTAGCTAGCTTGGGGTGAGGGAGTGCACCACAGACCCAGGCCTTTTTTTTTTTTTTTGAGACGGAGTCTTGCTCTGTTGCCCAGGCTGGAGAGCAGTGGCACGATCTCAGCACTGCCACCTCTGCCTCCCGGGTTCAAGCAATTCTCCTGCCTCAGCCTCCTGGTGCCTAACACCATGCCCAGTTAATTTTTTTTGGTTTTGTTTTGTATTTTTAGTAGAGACGGGGTTTCGCTGTGTTGGCCAGGCTGGTCTCGAGCTCCTGATCTTGTGATCCGCCCTCCTCGGCCTCCCAAAGTGCTGGGATTACAAGTGTGAGCCACCGCGCCTGGCCTAATTTTTGTATTTTTAGTAGAGATGGGGATTTTGCCATCCTGGCCAGGCTGATCTTGAACTCCTGGTCTCAAGTGATCTGTGTGCCTCAGCCTCCCAAAGTGCTGGGATTACAGGCGTGAACCACTGCAACCACTGCACACGGCCGACCCAGTCCTTCAAAAATAAATACAGGCCAGATGCAGTGGCTCACACCTGTAATCCCAGCACTTTGAGAAACTGAGGTGAGTGGATCATGAGGTCAGCAGTTCGAGACCAGCCTGGCCAAGATGGTGAAACCCTGTCTCTACTAAAAATACAAAAATTAGCCGGGCGTGGTGGTGGGCACCTGTAATCCCAGCTCCTCGGGAATCTGAGGCAAGAGAATCGCTTGAACCCAGGAGGTGGAGGTTGCAGTGAGCTGAGATCGTGCCACTGCACTCCAGCCTGGGCAACAGCGCAAGACTCTGTCTCAAAAAAACAAAAAATTTACTTGCTAAAAGCAGGTCATACTCTCAGCTAGGCTGGAGTGCAACGGTAAAGCCACCCTCACTGCAGCCTCCGCCTCCCACACTCAAGCGATCCTCCGGCCTCAGCCTCCTGAGCAGTTGGGACCACAGGTGCGCACCACCACGTCCAGTTAACGTTTAATTCTGCTTGAGAGACGGGGGTCTTGCTATGTTGCCCAGGCTGGTCTCGAACACCAAGCTCAAGCGATCCTCCCGCCTCCACCTCCCAAAGTGAGTCACCACGCCCGGCCTAGACTCAGTCTGAGGGGACAAAGGGGGCTCCGCTACGCCCCTGGAACTCCGCTGGGCCCAGCTCTCGCCTGGGCCCTCACCCCCACCCCGTTTCCCCCGCACCCCGTTTCCCCCGCACCCAGCCCGGCCAGGCTGCCGAGGCGCGCGGCCCGTAGCGGGGAGGGGCGTGGCGGGACCCGCGCTTGCAACCGCGGAACGGCAGGGGGCGCGCGACTCCCCGCGGAGGGGCCGGGAGGGCGGGGCCGCGCGCCGTGCTGGCCAATCAGCGCCCGCGCCGGCGCCGGGACCCGCCCCCTCGCCGCAGCCCCCGGGGTCCCGAGCGCGGCCCAGCCTCGGTCCCGCGGGGGAGGGGCGCGGCCTGCGGGGCGGGATCGGGGCGGCTTCGGGGCCGGGGCGAGTGGGGCCCCCCTCCCGGCGGCGCGCCCGAAGCCCCTCGGCAGTCCCGTCACGTCTCCTCCAGATTAGGCATTAACTCGGGTGCAGCCGCACTTCCGGGGGGCCGCGGCGGGGGGGGGCGCCTGCGGGAGCCGGCCCCCCCACTCCTTCCCCGCCCCCTCCCGGGCCGCCCCTCCCCGCGCCACGGCCTCGCCGGGCGCCGAGTCCCAGGGCTTTGTTCGCAGACAGCGCGGGTCGCAGGGCGCCGGG